TGCCTTCTCCAGCTCCCTATAACCGGTGCTGACCGGAGTGCCAGGGTCCCTTTTCAACCGAGTGTTCTGAAAACCGGACACCTGGTCACCCTATTAATAATATAGTCGACATTTTCAAAAACTACCTCTGAAATTGGACCCACAGTTTTATACCTACAATTTACAAGTTTTATCCCGTACAGGTACAAATAGAATCCAGATGCCGCATTACCTGATTGCTGCTGCAGATCCAGTATTTAGATATGTAGTTCAGAGATTTTCTCCAGTTGTACTGCATAGAGCACTGGTGGTCTGTGGAGAACATGCTAGCGTCCAGTAGAGAGCAGGTTATTGGCTTCCCTCCTAGTTTCCATCTGTTAAATTGCATTTAGAGACAGCTAAACTACATTCAAAACATTCAGAACCTCAAAGATACGAACACCAGAGTTCTGAACTTACCAGTCAACCGGACACCCTCTTGAACCAGAAGTAATCAGGCAGCAGTGGAGACCCACACAGACACAATAAAAGCAAATATTTTACTGCCTTGGGACTTTAGCCCTGGGGCTCAGGGCCTCAGCCAGAGGATGGGGGTTAAGGCTGCAGCCACAGGGTGGGGGGGGGGATCTGGGCTCTGGGCAGGGTGGGGGTCATGGCTTCTGACCCTTGGGATCACCATGGCTCTAGTCTTTAGATCTGGGGGGGGAGCACTGGGGCTTGGGGCTTCAGCCCCATGGCTCCGTTCCTGGTTTCAATCTGGGGCTTGGGGCTTGAGCCCTGTGGCTCTTTTCCTGGCTTCAGCCCCATGGGGGGTGCCAGGACTCAGGGCTTTAGCTATAAGGGGAGCGCTGATTTCAGCCCCAGCATTCCCCCCATAGCTAAAGCCCCGACCTCTAGCTTGTCCCCTCCACCCTGCTGAAACTGGGAATGGAGCCATGGGGAGCCCCGAGCCCCGGCCCCCCCATGGCAGAAGCCAGGAACGGAGCCACAGGGCTGAAGCCCTGAACCCTGGCACCCCCCTCCCCCCCCGCCCATGAGGCTGAAACCAGGAGCAGAGCCACAGGACTGAAGCCCCGAGCCCCAGCGCTACTTCCAAATCTAAAGGCCTGAGCTCTAATGCTCCTGAAGGTCGGAAGCCCTGACCGCCCCCTACCCAGAGCTCTGCCCCCGCTTCCCTGCATGGCTGCAGCCCCAGTGCCCCCTGCCCCAGTGGCTGAAGTCCATAAGGCCTTGTTTGGAGTTACGGACATTTCAGAGTTATGGACAACCTCCATTCCCGAGGTGTCCGAGGTGTCCAGGTGTCTGAGGTTCTACTGTATTACTTTTCTATGTGATAAATGGCTGTGGTTGCCACAGAAGAGATGCAATTGCAAATCGTAAAACATAGTCCATGCAACTGTGGATGACTGAAGTAGGTGATCGATGAGACAATCTCTATATTAACATGTGTTCCACATCAAATCCTGATTTGAGAACTCTGTTTGCACCTCTGTGTAGTTCGCACTAAAAACAAAAACCCCACAGGCACAAATATTTGTGGGTGAAATTTTAGACCCAAGTTAGCACATAAGAACAGCCATACTAGGTCAGACCAATGGTCCCTCTAGCCCAGCATCCTGCCTTCTGACAGTGGCCAGTGCCAGTTGCTTCAGAGAGAGGGAAAGAACAGAACAAGGTAATTTGAATGATTCCTCTCGTCCAGTCCCAGCTTCTGGCAGGTTGAGGTTTAGGGAGCATGGGGTTTCGTCTCTGACCATTTTGGCTAATAGCCATTGATAGACCTATCCTCCATGAACTTATTTGATTCTTTTTTTAACCCAGTTATACTTTTGGCCTTCACAACATCTCCTGGCAATGAATTCCACAGGTTGACTGTGTGTTGTGTGAAGAACTGCTTCTTCAGGTTTGTTTTAAACCTGCTGCCTATTAATTTCATTGGGTGACTCCTACTTCTTGTGTTATGTGAAGGGGTAAATAACACCTCCCTATTCAATTTCTCCATACCATTCATGATTTAATAGATCAGTATCATATACTCCCTTAGTTGTCTCTTTTCTAAGACGAACAGTACCATGCTTTTTAATCTGTTAGAAGCTGTTCCATACCCTTAATCATTTTTGTTGCACTTCTCTACACCTTTTCCAATTCTAATACATCTTTTTTGAGATGGGTCAACCAGAACTGCACACAGTATTCCAGGTGTGGGAATACCATGGATTTAAATAGTGGCATTATGATATTTTCTTTTTAGATATTTTTATTATCTATCCCTTTCATAATGGTTCCTAACATTCTGTTAGTTTGTCTGCTGCTACACATTGAATGGATGTTTTCAGAGAACTATCCATGATGACTCCAAGATCTCTTTCTTGAGTGGTAACAGCTAATTTAGACTGCAACATTTTGTATGTATAGTTGGGCTTATTTTTTCCAAACTGCATTATTTTTCAATTATCAGCACTTAATTTCATCTGCCATTTTGTCACCGTCACCCAGTTTAGGAGATCCCTCTGTAACTCTTCACAGTCAGCTATGGACTTAACTATATTGAATAATTTTGTATCATCTCCAAATTTTGCCACCTCACTATTCACCCCCTTTTCCAGGTCATTTATGAACATGTTAAATTTAACAACCTTGTAGGGTACCACAGTAGCATTTAACTTCAAAAAGGGGAACTACACAAAAATGAGGAGGCTAGTTAGATGAAATTAAAAAGAAAGAGTCACAAGAGTGAAATGCCTGCAAACTGCATGGAAGATTTTTAAAAAACCCACAAACTAAATGTATATCTCCCCCCCCCCCAAAAAAAAACAGTAAGAAGACCAAAAATGTCACCATGGCTAAACAACAGAGTAAAAGATGTAGTTAGAAACAGAAAGATATCTTTTAAAAATTTGAAGTAAAATTCTACTGAGGAAAATAGAAAGAAGCATAAATTCTGGCATGCCAGATTTATTGTAAAAGTATAATTAGGTAGGCTAAAAAAGACTTTGAAATTTGCAAAACACACAAAACTAACAGCTAACATTTTTTAAGTACATCAGAAGCAGGAAGCCTGCCAAACAATCAGCGGGGCCACTGGATAATTGAGGTGCTAAAGGATCACTCAGGGAAGACAAGGCTATTGCAGAGAAGCGAAATGAATTATTTGCATTGGTGTTCACTGCAGAGGATGTGAGGGAAATTACTACACCTGAGCCTAGGGTGACCAGATGTCCCGATTTTATAGGGACAGTCCTGATTTTGGGGTCTTTTTCTTATATAGACTCCTATTATTACCTCACCCCCTGTCCTGATTTTTCACACTTGCTGTCTGGTCACCCTTCCAGAGCCATTCTTTTTAGGTGACAAATCTAAGGAACTGTCCCAGTTTGAGGTGTCAATAGAGGAAGTTTTAGAACAAATAGATAAATTAAAGAGCAGTAAGTCACTAGGACCAGATGGTATTCATCCAAGAGTTCTGAAGGAACTCAAATATGAAATTGTAGAACGACTAACTGGTATGTAACCTATCGCTTATACCAGCCTCTGTACCAGATGATTGGTGGGTAGCTAATGTGTAGCTGATTTTTTTTAAAAGGCTACTGAGGTGATGCTGGTAATTACAAGCTGGTAAACCTAACTTCAGTCCTTGGCAAATTGATTGAAACTATAGTAAAGAACAGAATTATCAGATACATAGATGAACACGATATGTTGGGGAAGGGTCAACATGGTTTGAATGAAAATCATGTTTCACCAATCTGTTAGACTTCTTTGAGGGGGGTCAACAAACATGTGAATAAGGGTGATCCAGTGGCTATATAGTGTACTTGGACTTGGTGTCCCAAAACACCTGACTTCTAGAATCTGGGACTGGGTGACAGGAACTGGATCACTCAATAAAGTGGCCTGTTTTGTTCACTCCCCTTTGAAGCATCTGGCACCGGCCACTGTCAGAAGACGACATACTGGGCAAGATGAACCAATGGTCTGACCCAGTATGACCATTCTTATGTTCTTATGTTGAACAGCACAGGTACCAGTACAGATCGTTGGGGGGATGCTGCTATTTACCTCTCCCCATTGTGAAAACTGTCCATTTATTCCTAACCTTTGTTTCCTTTCTTTTAACCAGTTACTGATCCATGAGGGGACTTTTCACTCTTATCCCAGGGCTAGTTTGTTTGTTTAACAGCCTTTGGTGAGAGATCTTGTCAAAGGATTTCAGAAAGTCTAAGTACACTATAGTTGTGACCTGTTTGAAAATTTGTCACATATATGTAAATTTATATATTACAGATAAATTCAATGCAAAATAAAAGTGATAATTAGTTTCTCCTTTACTATCCTGACAAGATTGAGCCTGTGTTTTCCCTACAACAGGTGATAGAAGCCATAATTCACAGTTTGGTAGAGAAATGGGAAGGGAATTGATTTTTAAATAGTTTATTTTAAATTAAAATATTGGTAATATTTAAGTGTAAGTATATGAAGACCAATTATCCTATCACTTACACATGTGTAAATCAGGAATAAAGTCAGTGCAGTTACATTGGTGTATAACTGAAAGGGGAACTAGGTCCCTACAAAGTTAGGACTCAATTCTGCATCTGTTCCAGATATGGAACTCCTATTGGCTTCTGTAAGAGTTTCATCTGCAGAATGGAAGCAGAATCAAGCCCCTACTCGTTTGGGATCTTAAATATTTTAAATACATTGTTCCCTCAAAACTGTGCTGAACTTTAAGAGATGTCTGTGAATTTTTAACATTCATTTTTTATAAGGATTTTGCCTAGAAATTGTAATAAGGCTATAGTTCAAATTTTGGAGGAGGTGCAAAAGTTGCTCTCAGACTAGTGATTTTAGTGTCCAACACCCAGCTAATTTTTTTTTTTTGCAGGTGACTAAATGTACGACATGAGCTGTCTGACTGAAATCATTATTTTCCCTGTTGTGGTTGTCTCATTTAAAAGAAAAAAATTTATTTCACAACAAATTCTAATCTCTTTCTCCTTTTTTTTGTTTGTTTGTTTTAGATGACCAGGTACCCGAATGTAATTGTACAACAACTCTCTGTTCGATATTTTCTCAAGGAATGTATTACCTTTATCCCTTCAACATAGAGTATCATATTTTAGCATCCACAATGCTCTATGTCCTGTGGAAGAATATCGGACGCAAAGTAGAACACCACCACCAACACAAAATACTGTTCAAGTTTCATGGCATAACAGTGGGCATGATTTTTGGACTAATTGTGCTGATTAGCACAATAGCAGTCGTTGTTGTGTACTTAATTCAGATGGGACGTTCGAAAATCAAGAGTGAGTTAGCACTTACTATGTTTTACTTATATGGTATCTCCGTACTGACTCTTATGTGTGCAACTGGAATTGTCGCCCTTCTAATTTACAGACTAGAAGAAAGATCAATGGATAATTCAAAAAATCCTGCCAGGAAACTTGATGCAGACCTATTAGTTGGCACAGCTTCAGGTTCTTGGCCTCTCTCTTGGGGTTCTATCCTAGCGATTATCTGTGCCCAGTCTCATCCGAAATACACATGGTACAATCTTCCCTATTCCATCCTGGTTATTATTGAGAAATATATTCAGAATCTCTTTATCATTGAGTCCATACTTCGTGAAGAGGAAAAAGTGAATGATAATATTAAAACTCTTCGAATAGGAACTGTATCCAGTGGGAGCACTCTGTCACTTACCCCATCATACAAAGAAATTTACACTGGAGCAGCTGATATGGACAATGGAAAGTTTCCATACATGTTTGATGGGAATATCTACATGAGAGAAAGAAGTGGCGGTGATGGTTTTGATGAAGTCAGGAGTCAAGCTAGCAGTCCAGTCACACACTCAACCTCCAATTTCTCACTGTACAGTCGAAACTCAGTTAACAATAAGAGGAGAATCCTGAAGAACATTGCAGCATTTTTATTCCTGTGTAATCTTTCGGTAAGGTATTTTGAATGTAATTCACAAAATTAATACGAAAAAGCTCCCTAAAACCACCAAGACTGAGAAGAATATTAATGTTACTCAGTTTTACTCTTTATAAGAAGTGAATTCTAGTGCTTGTGAAAGGAGGTGGATTGACTGCACCATTGGGGAATAATGTCTATTTAGAAGTGGAATAGGCATGGGAGAAGGTATTTAACCTTGCAGACTAAAGTCTGTTTATCCACAGTACAGGAATGGCACAGGCAGTGATCTCTGAAACTCTGCCCTGTCAATGTGCCCCCAAAATGATCTGGAGGACTACTTACAGAGGAGAAAAGAATAATTTGGTCTCCATCCTTGGTCTTTCTGTTGTGACTGCTAACAAGACAGGATGTAATTAGTCACAGTTATAAGTGTGGATAGTGGTCCAATAGAAGACTCCCAATCCATTTCATATTGGCCACTTAATAGTTATCAGTCAATGTATTGTTTTTGTCAGACAGACATGAACATAACATAAGAATGGCCATACTGGGTCAGACCAAAGGTCCATCCAGCCCAGTATCCTGTCTTCTGACAGTGGCCAATGCCAGGTACCCCAGAGGGAATGAACAGAACAGGAAATCATCAAGTGATCCATCCCCTGTTGCCCATTCCCAGGTTCCGCAAACAGAGGCTAGGGACACCATCCCTGCCCATCCGGGCTAATAGCCATTGGCGGACCTATCCCTCATAAATTTATCTAGTTCTTTTTTTAACCCTGTTATGGTCTTGGCCTTCACAACATCCTCTGGCAAAGAGATCCACAGGTTGACTATGCATAGTGTGAAGAAATACTTCTTTTTGTTTGTTTTAAACCTGCTGCCTATTAATTTCATTTGGTGATCCCTCGTTTCTTTGTTATGAGGAGTAAACACTACTTCCTTATTTACTTTCTCTACACCAGTCATGATTTTACAGACCTCTATCATATAATAACTAAATAAATTAATGGAGATATCCCATCTCCTAGAACTGGAAGGGACCTTGAAAGGTCATAGAGTCCAGCCCTCTGCCCTCACTAGCAGGACCAAGTACTGATTTTGCCCCAGATCCCTACGTGGCCCCCTCAAGGATTGAACTCACAACCCTGGGTTTAGTAGGCCAATGCTCAAATCACTGAGCTATCTCTCCCCTTAGCTGTTTCTTTTCCAAGCTGAAAAGCCCCAATCTTATTAATTTGTTGTCATATGAAAGCTGTTCCTAATAATTTTTATTGCCCTTTTCTGAACTTTTCCCAATTCCCATATATCTTTTTTGAGACCACATCTGCACACAGTATTCAAGATGTGGGCGGACCTTGGATTTATATAGAGGCAATATGATATTTTCTCTCTTATTATCTATCCCTTTCTTAATGATTTCCAACATTTTGTTTGCTTTTTTGACTGCTGCCGCACATTGAGTGGATGTTTTCAGAGAACTATCCAGAGTGACTCCAAGATCTCTTTCTTGAGTGGTAACATCTGATTTAGACCCCATAATTTTGTATGTATAGTTGGGATTATGTTTTCCAATGTGCATTACTTCGCATTTATGCTTTACATTTCACCTGTCATTTTGTTGCCCAGTTACTCAGTTTTGTGAGATTTTGTGATGGGGTGGGACTCGCCACTGCAGCACCCCCAGCTGGATGTCCCAGGGATCAGCTCTGCTAATCGTGTACCCTATTCTGGTGGAGTCTCACTGCCATCACTTCTGCTCCAAGATCCATGTCCCTCCAAGGACTGTGATGTCCCCTTCAGGACACAGCCCTCCAGCTGTGCCACACTCTGTGCTCCCCCCTTCTGGGGGGACAATATTGCAGTCCCTCAGTCCAGCCACTTCCTCAGTGGTGAGGTGGGAGTGAGGGGAGGACCCAGGACCGCCCACTACTTCAGGTCCTGACCCAGGGACCCTGTAGAATGGCAGCCACATGCTGCATCTCCTCCAACCTCTCAGTCTACTTCCCTGGACCACTTCCCCGCAGCCCCATCTCCACCCTTATCTCAGGGCCTCAGCATGCCAGTCAGCCAGGAGCTCACTCTCACTCCCCTGATCCTGCCCGGCACTGCTCTGTCTAAGGTGCTAGCATTCTTTCTCCTTGATCTCCAGGGAGCAACTGAAGCTGCTCTGCTCTGCAGCCCTTCTTCTATGGGCCAGCCCAGCCCTGATTGGCTGCTCCTCGCAGCCCCTCTCTAATTGGCTGCCTCCTGCACAGCCACCCTAGGGCTTTATTAACTCCTTATGAGCCAGTGTGGGGCAGATGCCCCATCACAGATCCCTTTGTAGCTCTTCACAGTCTGTTTTGGACTTAACTATCTTGAGTAGTTTTGTATCATCTGCAAATTTTGCCACCTTACTGTTGAATAATACTGGGCCCAATACAGACCCCTGAGGGATACGACTATTTATCTCTCTCCATTCTGAAAACTGACCATTTATTCCTACCCTTTGTTTCCTATCTTTTAACCAGTTATTGATCCATGAGAGGAGCTTCACTCTTATCCCATGACAATTTAGAGCCTTTGGTGAGGGACCTTGTAAAAGGCTTTCTGAAAATCTCACTACACTATGTCTACTGGATCCCCCTTGTCCACATGCCTGTTGACCCCCTCAAAGAATTCTATTGGATTGGTGAGGCATGATTTCCCTTTACAAAAACCATGTTGACTCTTCCCCAACAAATTATGTTAATCTGTGTCTGACAATTTTGTTCTTTACTATAGTTTCAACCAGTTTGCCCGGTACTGAAATCAAACTTACTGACCTGTAATTGCCAGGATCACTTCTGGAGCACTTGTAAAAAATTGGCGTCACATTAGCAGTCCTCCAGTCATTTGGTACAGAAGTTGATTTAAATGACCGGTTACAAACCACAGTTAGTAGTTCTGCAGTTTCACATTTGAGTTCCTTTAGAACTCTTGGGTGAATACCACCTGGTTCTGGTGACATATTGCTGTTTAATTTATGCATTTGTTCCAAAACCTCCTCTAATGACACCTCAATCTGGGACAGTTGCTCAGATTTGTCACCTAAAAAGAATGGCTCAGATTTGGGAATCTCCCTCATATCCTGAGCCGTGAAGACTGACGAATTCATTTAGTGTCTCCGTAATGTCCTTGAGTGCTCCTTTAGCATCTTGATTGTCCAGTAGCCCCACTGGTTGTTTAGCAGGCTTCCTGCTTCTTCTGTACTTAATTTTTTTTTTGCTATTACTTTTTGAATCTTTGGCTAGCTGTTCTTCAGTTTTTTTGTGGCCTGCCTAATTCTATTTTTACCTTCATTTGCCTGAGTTTATGCGCCTTTCTATTTTCCTCACTAGGATTTAACTTCCATTTTTAAAAGGATGCCTTTTTGTCTTTGACTGCTTCTTCTACTTTGTTGTTTAGCCACAGTGGCACTTTTTTGGTTCTCTTACTAGGTTTTTTAATTTGGGGTATGCATTTAAGTTGAGCCTCTATTATGGTGTCTTTAAAAAGTTTCCATGCAGCTTGCAGGGATTTCACTCTTGGCACTGTGCCTTTTAATTTCTGTTTAACTAACTTCCTAATTTTTGTGCAGTACCCCATTCTGAAATTAAATGCTACCATGGTGGGCTGCTGTGGTGTTTTCCTTTTTCCCTGCCACAGGGATGCTAAATTTTAATTATATTATGATCACTGTTACTAAGTGGTCCAGCTAAATTCACCTCTTGAACCAGATCCTATGCTCCACTTAGGACTAAATCAAGAATTGCCTCTTCTCTTGTGGGTTCCAGCTGCTCCAAGCCGCAGTCATTTAAGGTGTCAAGAAACTTTATCTCTGTGACCTGAGGTGACATGTACCCAATCAATAGGGGATAGTTGAAATACCCCATTATTATTGAGTTTTTTATTTTTATAGCCTCTCTAATTTCCCTGAGCATTTCACAATCACTATCACCATCCTGGTCAGGAGGTCGGTAGTATATCCCTACTGCTATATTCTTATTATTCAAGTATGGAATTACTATCCATAGAGATTCTATGGTACAATTTGGTTCATTTAAGATTTTTACTTCATTTGATTCTATACTTTCTTTCACATATAGTGCCACTCCCCCACCAGCATGATTTGTTCTGTCCTTCTGATATATTTTGTACCTTAGTATTACTGTGTCCCATTGATTATCCTCATTTCACCAAGTTTCTGTGATGCCTCTTATATCTATATCCTCATTTAATACAAATCACTCTAGTTTACCCATCTTATTATTTAGACTTCTAGCATTTGTATATAAGCACTTAAAAATTATCACTTTTTAGCTGTCTGCCATTACATGTCAGCCAGCCAGCCCCCTCCCCATTCTGAGAATGATGACATATCCACATCATTATGACTTCACAGTTTCCCTTTTTAGGGTACATCTGCACTGTAGCTGGAGATGTAATTTCCAGCTTGGGTACATGCATTAACTTTTTGATTGAACTAGTGTGCTGAAAATAGCAGTGTAGTCTGAGTGGTGCTCGCAGCAGCCTGGGCTAGCTGCCTGAGTCTCAGATGAGATTGTACGTGGGTGACTAGCCAGTGCCACTACCCAGTCTGCCAAACAGATTTGCTTTGAGGACACTGACAATACAAAACCCATTAAAGTCCCTTTTTTTTTTTAGCTTGTGTATGAGCAGCTGCTGCTGCAATTAATACATTTTTAGGCTAACCCTTGTATGTAGTTATGTAAAATTTACTGTACATTCAGTAGAACATCAGAGTTATAAACTCCTCAGAAATGGAGGTTGTTCGTAACTCTGAAATGTTTGTAACTGAACAAAACGTTGTGGCTGTTCTTTCAAAAGTTTTCAACTTAACATTAACTTAATACAGGTTTGAAACTTTACTATGCAGAAGAAAAAGGCTGCTTTTAACTGTCTTAAGTTGAATGAAACAAGTACAGAACCGGTTTCATTATCTTGTCAAATCTTTTATTTTAAACTTTCCCTTTTTTCCAATAGCTTATGTTTAACACGGTACTGCACTGTATTTGCTTTTTTAAAAAAAACCCTTTGTTGCTGCCTGACTGGTTGCGGTCTATGGTTGCCCAGTCAGTTTGTAACTCTGGTGTTCATAACAAACCCCTTTCCCCACAAACCAGAAACACTATGGGCCTGATTCTGCAACAGACTGAACTTCCTCAACTGAAAGCACTCATCACCTTCCATGATAGGACCATATTCTGTGAAATAACTAGCCCCAAATTATAGGTTTAATATGATGGTAAAAATGGGCCCTTCCATGGGATCCTTGTTTATACTAGGGCTCACTCTAGTGCTAAGACCAGTTCAGTTGTCCCTGTGATACCACCTCTGGAAATTTTTTTTGTAAAACTTCCCAGTGTAATGTGGCCTAAGGGGTTTATTTATCTGTCAACTCAATAACAAATGTAGGTCTCCTTAAAGTAACCATTAATTATGTTCACACATTGAGGCAAGAATCCCTTGATGAGAAGGGTTCATTTACTTGCTGTGGAATTGTTTTATAAAAGTCACTAAGGCCCCAGTTTTAAAGGTATTTAGGCATTGCAAGGCCTAAGGGCAAAATTTGTAAAGTTATTTAGGTATCTGAAGATGAAGATAGGTGCCTGAGGCCAGATTTTTAAAGATATCTAGGTGTTTAAAGATGCAGACAGGTCTCTTCTAGTGGGATTTTCAAAAGCCCCTATGCACCTAACTCTGCCTGGGCACTTTGGAAAATCCCACTTGGCACCTATCTGCATTTTAGACACCTAAACGCCTTTAAAATTCTGGCCCTTAGGAGCCCAAGTTGCATTGAAAGTCAGTGGGACTTAGGCTGCTATATGCCTAATTAGCTCTTGAAAATAAGACTTACTTGTCTCATTCACTTAGGCCGCAGCTACACTCGACACTTCAAAGCGCTGCCGCGGGAGCGCTCCCGCAGCAGCGCTTTGAAGTGCGAGTGTGGTCGCACGCCAGCGCTGGGAGAAAGCTCTCCCAGTGCTGCAGGCATCCACCTCCTTGAGGGGATTAGCTTACAGCGCTGTAACTTGCTGCACTCAGGGGGGTGTTTTTTCACACCCCTGAGCGAGAAAGTTGCAGCGCTGTAAAGCACCAGGGTAGCCATAGCCTCAGGCTGTGAATGTTGACTGGAACAACCCCTAATACCTTTAAAACCTGGCCCTAAAAACTGGAAGTACTTTCCAGCAATCTTGCTATGGAATTAAGCAATATACATTATATTGTAAGTGCAACACAGTCTTGCATTACAAGCCACCTTTTAATGTATTATATGGAATAGGAACTCAGGCCAAATCTGTTACCTTTAAGCAAGACAGAGGGCCCGATTCTCTGCTTGCTTACACTGGAATGAACCCGGAGTAACTGCTGAAATCCATGTGAATGGAGAATTGGGCTCAGCGATCTTTGACACCAAATGATATTGGTTCATGCTCGGGGTTCAGCTGATCATGCTCAGGGTTCAGCTGATCGCCATATTTGGGGTCGGGAAGGAATTTTCCTCCAGGGTAGATTGGCAGAGGCCCTGGAGGTTTTTCGCCTTCCTGCGCAGCATGGGGCAGGGGTCGCTGGCTGGAGGATTCTCAGCGATTTGAAGTCTTTAAATCATGATTTGGGGACTTCAACAGCTGAGTGAAGGGAGAGAATTCTTCCAGGAGTGGGTGGGTCAGCTTTTGTGGCCCGCATCATGCGGGAGGTCAGACTAGATGATCATAATGGTCCCTTCTGACCTTAGAGTCTATGAGTCTATTTGCAGTATAGAAGGAATGAGTATTTCATACCACAGTCATAATAGGCAAGCATCACTTGATGAAGATGATGATGACTGATACCAATGTTGTTTTCTTTCCATGCAGCTTTGGATTCCACCAGCATTTGGTTGCCGCCCAGAGTATGACAATGGACTGGAAGAAATAGTTTTTGGTTTTGAACCTTGGATAATTGTTGTTAACCTTGCAATGCCTTTTTCTATTTTCTATCGAATGCATTCAGCTGCCTCACTCTTTGAGGTGAGTTGCAAAACATAATCTATAAAGAGTCTCAGTGAACAATTGGTTGAATGCATGACTGAATAAATGAAAGGGTGAAAGAATGAATACACCAGCAGCTGTTTGATATTAACAGGTTCTACAACTATTTTAATAAACAAAACTATAGTTAATAGAACTTAATATTCAATATAATTCATTCCCCCCCACATTTTATTGTACTTCTTTTTGACAGACTTTTCAATATCATTGTAGAGTAAAGTTAACCAAAATGTGTCTGAATCTTTTGCTGTCTAAATCATCTGAGGCTCAACATGTGGAAACAAGATATATTTTCTGTGTTGTTTGTATTGATGCAGTTCTCCTCTGAATGTTGCCTCTGGATGGGATTTTTCAAAAATTAGAAGCAAAGATCCCATTGCCTTTCCATCAGACCTACGCTCCTACATTACTTAGGCACCTTTGAAAATCTCACCTTCAATTTTTAGCAAAATGTTTTATAATATAAACTGGAAACATAATCTGTTATTTAGATGGGAAAATTCTGTTTAATTTTCGGACTGAGAAAAATAATATGTTATCATCTTCCTGAGTACTCTGTATGAAAGTACAGACACTGTATAGATTTAGATATGGTACTGTATATAATTCCTTATGAGTTAAACATGATTTTATTCATGAACTCCCATTGTTTTATACTTACTATATGAAATAACTAATGAATAAAGTTAATTTCTTTTAATTGTTCAGGTTGGTTTCCAGATCTTTGAAACTGTTTGAGGGGAAAGCTAATCTTGTAGCTTATGTTCAGCTCCAGGTGACCTGTGTTTAGTCCCAGCACTGCCACAAACTTTCCACGTGACTTCGGAGAGGTTTCTCTGTACCTCAGTTCTCCAGTTTGTAAAATGAGGATAATAATATCTATTTCACACTGGTGCCGTGGGTCTTAGCTAATAATGCCTGTGAAGCTTGGCAGGATCCTTGGGTGGAAGATCACACAGAAAGACAAAAGTACAATTATTATTTTTCATGAGCTGCTGTAACCATGAATATGTGGTGTCAGGAACATAGGAACTGCTATACTGAACCAGGTTAGTGGTCCAGTGGTTTCTCACAGTGGCCAGTACCAGATGCTTCAGGGGAAGGAGCAAGAAACTTGCCATACACCGTTATGGAATAACCTATCCACAAGGAAAGGGGTAACAGGGATAAATATTGTTTACTCCCACCCTGCCTTTTACTGTTAAGTGTACCAGTTTTTCAAGTCCCTTTATACCACACCAACTGCTGGGGTATAAGTGCTAAGTATAAGTATAAGACAAAGTTCCTTACAGTGAGAGCTTAGGGAGCTCAATCTGTTTATTTTATGAAAAGGAAGATCAAAAGGTGACTTGATTACAGTGTGTAATTACCATCACAGGAAGAAAATAGCAAGCACTAAAGCACCCTTTAATCTAGCAGAGAAAGGCATAATCAGAAACAATGGCTGGAAGTTGAAGCCAGAGAGATTTCAGTTAGAAAGTAGGCACAAACATTTAACAGTGATGGTCATTAACCACTGGAAAAAGCTACCCAGGGAAGGATTACAGTTGTCTGCTTAACTTCAACCGATAAAAACAATGTTGCCTACACACCACTAGATGGTGATCTTGCACCAATACAAATAAGTCCTGACAAAGCAGGCATAGTGCAGTAAATAATTGAAGTGATTAGATTTAAGGAGCACCTCATACCCCAATTACTTTGGTTTTATTCTGTGAAATATTAGGTGAGCAGGTGGAGTTCCATGTAGCTTATCTACTGCACTTTATGGGCTGGATTCACAAAAGGTCTTAGGCACCTAACTGCCTAGATCCCAGAATCAGCCCCCATTGGAATTCACAAAAACCTCCGCTTAGCTGCCCCAAACCCTGTAGATGCCTAAACTTGCTCAGCACCTAAAGTTGCCTAGGCGCCTATGTTTCTACCTCTGAGCATGTGCGCTGCAGCCCGACACCATGTGTCCGGATGCCCAAAACAATTCCCTAACAGGAGAAGATAGACATTCATCTGTCTGACTCCCCTGTGGGGCCTGCTCTGGTAAGCTGGCTCGGAGCTCACCTACCAGATTGACCCCTATAGACAAACTCACAGGCCGCTGCCACCAGCCAGTGGCAAAGCTACAATGGGGCAAGTGGTGCAGTCATGCCAGGCATGGGCGGCGGATGGAGCCCCACTCTGGGGCGGCTAGCCCCAGCTTTGCCACTTCCGCCCATGCCCTCCCCAAGGCTGGAGCCACGAGACCCCCTGTGCTCCCCCCCTGCACCCAGAGACAACCCTCCCCCCCCCCACCTGGAGAGACCCTCACCACCTGAGGAGCCCGTGGCTGGCCACAGCCATGCTGTGCCTCCCCTCCCCGGACTGAACCCATGCAGGTTCCAGGGTGGCTGAGGAGGTGCTACGTGCCTCCTCAGCTGCCCCAGAACCTGCATGGGGCATAATAAAGGAAAAACTTTGCCGCCAAACCCCGCAACTGGGGGTCTGGCCACACCAGGGGAGGCAGAGCGTCCCCTGGCCTATTATACCTGCTGCCCCTGGTGCCAGAGCCTACAAGGATGTGAGAGCTCAGTGAGAGGAAATGGTGCTCTGGCACTTCACCTGGAGCGTGACAGCGGGCCGGACAAGCCAAACCTCTCTGGTGCTACAAACCTGTGAGCCCAGTCACAACGTCACTCATCACTCAAATTTCAACTGCACCACGTGAGTGTGGGGCGAGCAATGGCAGAGAGCAGAGCCTCTGGGCAGCCAGGACTGGGGGGAGCTGCCCTAGCTTGGGAGAGGAGTAGAGTGCTACATATGGGGTGTGCTGATGTGTGGCCAGGAAGGTTCTGGAAGCAGTGGGTGAGGGGCAGGGGATGAGTTGTTGGTGGGTTGTGGGGAGTGTTTGGACGGCTACAGAGTGAGGGGGTGGAGAATGTGGGGGGGGGCTGTGGAAAGAATGGAGGATGTTATGAGGCAGGGGGGTAGACTGAGGGCTGGGATGTTGGGGGGTAAGGAAAATTTTAGATTTCAGACTTGGGAAGGGGACCCTACCCTATTCTTGCACCAGGGTCCTCTGGGGTCTTGTGCCCCTGCCTCGTAACTTTTAGCTCAGTAGTTAGGGTACTCACCTGTAATTGTGGAAGACCCCCTAGTTCCAGTCCCTGAGGGGGAGAAATGATTTGAACTGGGAAGCTGCCACCTTTCAGGTGAGTGCCATGGGCTATTCAGCTGTGGAGGGTCTCTCAGTCTCTTCCGTTGAAACTATTCCACTGTGAATAAATAATAACTGGGTCAGTAAGCAAGATTAAGCCCAAGATTGACTCTGTAACTTGCTTGTTAGCGCACTCCGGAGGTGAGAAACTCAAGATCCAGTCCCCCTGCTCCAATGACTTAGCACACACCCTTTGGCTTGGCATCTCCCACAGGCTAATATAGGTGAGGAGCTGCCTAGCATGCTGGTTTTGTAAGTCCCATTCAGAAGTGCCTCTCACTTCCCATTCATTGCATAGGGAGACTAGGCACCAAACACAGGCATTGTGGATTGCAGTGATTTCTAGATGCCTAAAAGTTACGTGTAGTGATGCTCAGCATCATCATCACATAATTTTCTTTGTGAATCTAGCCCTATATGTTTTTTGCACCATCCTCAGAAGTATCTGGTGCTGGCCACAGTTGGAGACAGGATACTGGTTTAGATGGGTCACAGGTGTGATTGGATCTGGCAAGTCCTTTGTTTCTGCAAAATTCTTTTACTTGAACCACCAAAATGTCCATGTTCTTAAAATAAGTTAGCGCATGATCACATTGCTGTAATCTCTGTCTTTCCTTTTCCCTTTGTCTGTCCATCACATCTACATTTCAATTGTAGGCTTTTCATGGCAGGGACTAAACTTTTTTATTTCTTTTCTTTAAACATGTAACATGTTGGATGCTGTAAAAATGATCTACAACAACATGAACATAGTTTCATCTAGCTAGATTTCACACACAGTTACTTAGCCTTTTCCACTTGCTGACAGTCAACATTGAAATAAGATGACTGGTCCCTCAGTCATAAGTATAATTTTATGGTGCTAAGGTAAAGTTTCTTCAGGAAAAGAAAATTAGGGCAACATTGTGTCATTAATTATGTGCAACTCTCACTTAAGTCAATGGGGAAAAAGCTGGTCTCAGTTGCACTGGCGGAATGTAAATGACTTAAATGGGGATATTCTGGTGAAGCAGAGAAGAGAATTTGGCCTGAAAGGAGCTGAGAGTCTCTGGTGCCAGGAGTTGTTGTATTATTGATTATTTAATACAGATTCAAACTATCCCAAGGATTGGAGATGTGAAGAGCAGAATTGTAATTTGGGCCTTTGTAGAAATAGCAACCAGCCATGAAGTCTGGAACATTCACGGGTTTTAGATTTTATGGCCAGAAGTGACCTTCAGTTATAACCACAAATGATTAGGGTTGGAAGAGACCTCAGGAGGTCATCTAGTCCAACCCCCTGCTCAAAGCAGGAACAACCCCAACTAAATCATCCCAACCAGGGCTTTGTCAAGCTGGGTCTTAAAAACCTCTAAGGATGGAGATTCCACCACCTCCCTAGGTAACCCATTCCAGTGCTTCACCACCTTCCTAGTGAAACAGTTTTTCCTAATATCCAACCTAGACTTCCCCCACTGCAACTTGAGACCATTGCTTCTTGTTCTGTCATCTGCCAGCACTAATAACAGCTGAGCTCCATCCTCTTTGGAACCCTGCTTCAGACAGTTGAAGGCTGCTATCAAATCCCTCCCTCACTCTTCTCTTCTGCAGACTAAACAAGCCCAGTTCCCTCAGCCTCTCCTCATAAGTCGTGCCCAAGCCCCCTGATCATTTTCGTTGCCCTCCGCTGGACTGTCTCCAATTTGTCCACATCCTTCTGTAGTGAGGGTCCCGAAACTGGACACAATACTCCAGATGTGGCCTCATACTCCAGATGTAGCCTCACCAGTGCCAAATAGAGGCTACCTCATCCTCCTGGTCTGATGGTCTATAGCAGACAACCACCACCACATCACCCTTGTTGCTCTCACCTCTAAACGTAACCCAAAGACTCTCAGACGTTTCACCGGTTTCATACTGGAGCTCTGAGCAATCATACTGCTCTCTTACATACAGTGCAATTCCTCCACCTTTTCTCCCCCGCCTGTCTTTCCTGAACAGTTTATATCCATCCATGACAGTGCTCCAGTCATGTGAGTTACCCCACCAAGTCTTTGTTCATCGAGTCTGACCTCTATCTACATGATCCGCACCTAAATCTGATCTTTCCTAAAGAACTTTGGTTTTGGCCTCCTCTCTCTTTAATATAATTTTTATAAATGACAAATTAAAAAAATTGGAATAAATAAAATAAAACTGAATAGAAAGGAAATTTTGATACAGCACATGCTCTTTCAAGGGGTTTTCTTGAAGTGAGTCAGATTACTTAGAGCTGCATGTTTGCCAGCACAAGTGAAGATCTTATTTATGCTGTAGAAAACTGCAGCTGGAGTTGTAAACTGTATGATGCTTGGTGTGATAGTCATTGGTTAAATTTTGAAAGCCCTGTAAAGGACATCTGTCCAGTTGGTCAAGGTTTGATGTCCGGGGAGATTATTTTTGATATTGTGTTAACATTAAAAAGGAGACTCTTAAAGTCAGGAACCCGTTCCATGACCAAGTATGAGATTTTTTTGGCCAATCCA